TACCAGTTTGTCGTGTGTAGATACAGCATAGAAAATAACGGCTACACCATCAGAATACCAGCCGGGCCTTGTGTAGATACAGCATAGAAAACAACGGCTGCACCATCTCAATTCCAGCCGGGTCGTGTGTAAACACAGCATAAACACAACGGCTACACCATTCCAATACCATCTTGTCGTGTGTAGATAAAGCATAGAAAACAATGGCTACAGCCATCCTAATACCAGCCATGGTGGTGTGTAGACACAGTACAGAAAAACAGTTACAGTCATCCCAATTCCAGCCGGGTCGTGTCTAGACACAGTAAAGTAAACAACGGCTACAGCATCCCAATACCAATCCGGGCCGTGTGTAGATACAAAAAAAAAAAAAAAAGAAAACAGCGATGATGGGTCACACTATCCCATTGCCATCCATGCTGGGGTATAGACACAGTACAGAAAACAGTGGTGTTGGGTCACACCATCCCAATACTGGCCATGCCGGTGTGTAGACACAGTACAGAAAACAGCGGTGTTGGGTCACACCATCCCAATACTGGCCATGCCGGTGTGTAGACACAGTACAGAAAACAGCGGTGTTGGGTCACACCATTTCAATACCGGCCTTAGAGACAACAACGTGAGCGACACCGGCGGTCGTGGAAACAAATGAGACCACCACACCACGCCTCCGCCTCTCAAGTCCGGAAGCCCGCGGCAGCTAATGAAGATGAATGCGGCCGTGGGCGGCAGGCAAGGAGCGTTGAACCGCCGTAAACATCCCTCCCTCCACACCGCACACAACCACCGTACAGAGACCAATCGACGGAGTAGAATCTATCCACAGAACTCACATTTTTTTTACAAACAAATTTCGATCTCAGATCCTGGAACTCTAACAGCTTGCATATATAATTGTATTAACATAAAAGTGAACAAATAGTTTTCATTTCTTATAGAAATAATTGTGCAAGCCATCATAAATGTAAGATTTATAACCTATAGCGTTCTCTGATTTATTCTCTAAGACAAAGACGTGGGTGCTATATTGAATCGATAATCTATGATTCCGCATATTGACTTTATGGAGTTGAACGTATGGATGGAAGGTTGTTGAGTTTAAGTTAAATTTATTTCTAAATGTTTATAATAACGTAGTGTCTCCCGAGGATATTAATGTAAAGGTGTTGAAGATGCCAATGGCATTCCCTTACTTCCCATTGGAACGCCTCCCCATTTTGCGTGTCATCCTTGCACATCCTTACCTCCTATTGGCGTCAGACAGAGAATGACATCCAGAGTATCTGTCGAGAGAAGGTTTGAGAAACTTAGAAGATATATTTACATAAAAAAACGCATTTGTGGATGTTTGTTCGTGTTCAAGTGTACATACATGTTTTATCCATATGTTTAAGTGCATAAGCGTAATAATATTGGCATATTTGCTTGTCTGCGTGTGTGATACGTACTCTTGAGAGTATTTAGGTACATAAACACTATCTTATACGCATGTACATTATCTTATGTACATGTTTGTTCATGTATCCATGATGAGAGGCCATATATGTGTAATGCGTGCTCCTGCGATTTTAAATTTTATTTCATGGTAATTGAAGAGAAAAATGTTGCATACTAAAACATAGTTAACCACTATTTATTCCGCACACGTTAATATTATTTATTCTGTCTTTGTACATATCTCTCTCGAATAATATTGATCCCTAAATGCATAATCTATCTAAGTATTATCAGTTCAAGTTCTGAATTTGCCAAAACTGGGTTAATGGCCTTGTTACCCACCAGAGTGTGTGTACTATATATTTAGGTCTTAAGCAAATTTACTGAGACATCAGTCAAAGACAATGCACATACACGCTAATTTAAGATATTATTTGGAAACTATAAGCAAAGAGAGTGCACAGTCATGTACAGTCGCGGAGGCTCCCCCAACAACAAATAATCTTCCACTCCGAGAATATAGAATGCAGAAACATTCATTATAGAACATACGTTAAATATAAGGCAATAACGCGCCATTTGTATTCAACAAATGAAGCCATTAAGCCTGAATTTTTCCTTACAAATTATAAACAAACTTCCTACTGTCCTTACTGCAACCAAAGAAAAAAAAAAGGCTCCTCAGTGGTGAACCCTCACAGCTCCTTCACCAGTTTAATCAACTATGCTGCTTTTTAGGGTTCAAATATTGTATTGGATGATTCGGCTTATATGTCCAACACTAGGGTGGATATAAAATGAAAGGATTTTAAAGCACGAATGTTTCTTTTATACATAATACAAACTTCTACTGCCCTTACTGCGATGAAAAAATGTATTGGGAGGGCTTGGCTCATCAGTGGTGAACCCTCCCAGCGGTTTCGCCAATTTAATCCACCAGATCGCTTCTCAGAGCTCTAATACTGTATTGGACGATTCTGCTTATATACGCAGCACTGAAGGGTGGAATCTCAGAAATGGTTTTCAAGAAAACTATGGACATAAGCTTATAGGACAGTAGAATTACATTCAAATATTTGCATCGAGCAATGCTCTTCCGCAAACAATAAATACAAGGTCAGTTAGTCATAAATGCCTGGATGGATGTTTTTAAATCAAAATTATAGATATAAACTTTGAGGACAGTAGAATTATATGAAAATATTCTCATCGAGCTATGCTCTTTGGCAAGCAATTCATACAAGGCCTTTTATACATTGTTCAACGACGTAGAAATTTGTTTTTTATTTGAAAAGAAAAAGGTGTGCTTAATGGTTTTATTTATTGACGATTGCTATAGCTTTTACCTCTATTTTGATGGGTAGCCGATTTCTTTTAAAATCTTTCCAGCATCTATGTTATCCATATATAATTGCTAGCTTTTATCTATATCACAAGGTGTGTCTATAATTCTAGAAATGTCTCTGTGTGAATTAAATAATACCAAGAAATAATAATTAATAACACGTGTTTTTGATCATATAGAAAAATGTTAATGCCCAACATTTCTGCAGTAAAAAAAAAATCAAAAGGCAACTATCGTATTTTATTTTTTACTAGGGTAAAACGCCAACTGAAATTAGCCAAACGATGCATCAAGTTTACCAGGACAATTGATTTTTTAAAAGAGCCATTTTTAGGTGGTACTGTGCATGTTTGGATGCAAGAAAAATCATTGAAGAAATGCCTATAGGTCACACACGAAGACAAAAAATATATATATATCACACCGAGAAACGATTGAATATAAGTCAAAGAAATAACCATTTTTGATTGAAGAATGAGTGAAAGAATGGTTTCAAAATAACTTAATTGCCAAAAATATATAATAATAATAATAAATACTATACACTACATTCTAGTACAAGATCCTGTTCAATAAAATAATCTCTTGTGTCAATATTAAGGTAAAAATATCAGGTCTCCAGGAATAGTTTCCTTTTTAAACACTTTAATTCCCAAATCTCTAGCTTTCGGCCTTCTACAGGAGAACAGACGTTACAATAAATCACCAATAAGACACAAAGAGTTACATAGGAAATTTGATTATATTTGAACTTTTGTCCTGTTGGCGATATCTTGTAGCATGGTTTCTCCTGTAGAATGCCAAAAGCTAGAGATTTGTGAATTAAAATGTTTTAAAAGAAAATTATCCCCGAAATCTGATATTTTCACCATAACAAGATCCTGTATTCCGACGAAAAGACGAGGCGAAAGGAATTTTGAGGATGCGCTGTGGGTCTTTCTGAACGGAATAACACCCTTGTTGTTGTTGTAGTGTCTAATGAAGAGCCTCTGATGTCTCCATGCATCTCAATCAAGCAGTCGTAATGTCCACTATCTTGGGTGTGTAAAGCTGCTGCTCTGTGTGATAATACTTTTATTTATCGAATAAGAAACGAAACATGAATTTACTCTTAAGAAAGCAAAAGAATGAGCATAGAATTGAATAGTTTTCAGAGGAGTTCATCCGCAAAGAAAATTTTACGAAAGAACAAATCAATGAGATCATGCTGATCATCTCTTCGATATAAAATATATAATTCGTTTTGTAGTTATTATTTTTTATTGTTTAAATGTGAACTTCCTTGATATACTTTTTTGTTTTATTGAATACTATTTTGAATGTAAGCTTTAATATATTCTTTTACACGCATAATAATAATATGTAACAAATAAATTTACTGGAAATGTATGTTTCTTTTCAATAATATCAAATATTATCTCTACAGACGTTACTGCAATGATGTTATTATTATTATTATTATATATTTTTTTGCATTTGTGTTAAAAACATTAATGTTTAGAACTAAAGATAAATGATCAGAATATAAGGGCAACATTCAATAGTTAAGTCATTAATGAATCCGTGTAATGCTGGGGAGAGAGAAATTCTTTATTTGGTGTTGGGCTCTGGAGTAGTGGTAGTGATGTTGCGGTCAAAACAGTGTTTATGACCGTCATCCGTGTCATCTCTTTGTCCAGTTCCTTCTGCTAATCCTGGGAAGCCATACATTCCAGTTCCAAGACCTCTGAATTGAAGTGCATAAAACATGGGCGTTGAGGTGTAATGCTGGGGAGGCTATTCATAATTCAACGACAGAAAAGCCCACGCTAGAAATAAAAGTAAAATTTCCATTTTTTTCGCTAAGAGATCTTCCATTCAAAAGGTATAATTCACTATTGAATTCGTTTCTGAAGGCCAAGACTGTTAACCATTTCTTTATACAAAGATGTTCTGGAACCATAATATGATGAGGAAGAAAAAACATGATTTCGGCATCCCAAAGACATCGTCTTGCTCCACTTTCTTGGGAAAAAGGGGGTTACAGTGATGCCACACCCCTTACTTCCCTGATTTGTCATCCCGTGACTTCTTGTTTGTAAGACAGAATTGAAGGAAAAACTTGTCTTTATTTAGACGAAATAGAGGAAAAGATAGGCAGCTGTCAGAAATTTTAAAATCCGTGTCCAAAGTGTTGGAGGATTATTTTTCCTTCCTTGTGGTGGCGTCTTGTCCAAAGACCTACAGCTGGTGTTCCCAGGTGGTCACCCTCCCAAGTACCCTCCCACATTGTTTAACTTCGGTCATCAGACGAGAACCGGTGTTTTCAATGTGGTATGCCCATAGGCATTCCTTCCTTGTAAAAATATAGAAAGAGAATGCATTTCAGTCACCGTTGCTTAATTTGAAAAGGGCATTTGATTAATACAACTTATTAAGATAATTTTCCACTTTATTTACTAAAAATTTTTACTTACTAAAAAAAAAAAAAATTAATGATATTGGTTTATGGCCAGAACTTTTGACACACGGTTTGGTTGGTTTACCTGTTCACTAGATCTTTATTTAAACATAAAAACATCAACACTACAGTATAATCTACACTTATATACAACAACAAAAAATCTTTATTAAGACCTTTCAGTCTTATACAGATTCTCTAAATATAAATGTAGGGTACATACAGGAGTAACAGTAATAGTACCAGTAATAAGCATTGTTATATGCAATTTTCAATATAATATTACACAAGCACGACACTAATTGCATTCTCTAACTCCTTGTTTAAAAAAATAAATCAGCTTACTGTTATGTAATTAAAGTAAGAAGGATGAATCCGTAAACAATTTAACTTTACATATTATGTATTATTAATAGCAATTATATGAAACAAATATTGGTATATATGTCTACATGAAAAAAAAAACAAAGAAACATTATATACATACAAGTTCCTTTTCAAACTCAGTCTCATCTATAGCCATTGTTACTCTGTAATATTCCAACACTTACAACGAAATTCTAAAAATAAAATCTTGATAATGTGAGATCGATAGAAACTTCTGTCTAAATTATTTGCTCTATAACCTACTAGGATAATCGATAAATAGCTCTTTATATAAAGACAAAAGATTGTTGGGAGAAACTTGTCTTTTATTCATATAAAAAGGGCGTACCTGGATCTATAAAGAAAAAAAAATCTCAAAATATTTCGAGAGATTGCTCCCTCTTTATCAATTAATTGCATAGTAAACTTTATTTACAAATTTTTGCTGCACAGCAACAATTATAGCTATATTAATGCAATGCGGCCTGTGATTGTAAAACGACACTTGAAGTTACACCGCATGAGTTTCTTTTAACGATAAATCAATTTTATTTTTTTTTTATTTCAAGGTGAAATATCGACTATTTCTAACCTTTTTGGATGAGGTATGAAAGGATGAATTATGAAGAGTAATGACGAACGGAAAAATAAAATAAAAACAATAAAATTTTAACAATGATAGCTTTTGAGGACTCGAGTTGCTACGGTGGCAACGAAACCCAGTACTCGAGACAACTACTTTGGAATGCCCACTTTATTATAGCGTTAGACAACAAGACAGTTACTAATGTTGAAGATCTGTATGAATTTGTAAATAGCAGTGTTAATTGTCAGAGATTTAGTCACTTTTGTGAATATATTTATGGCTATTTGTCTGACTTTATATCTCATTGTTTCCTTTTTATTTATTTTCTTGTATAGTGTTCTACATAAAGGTTTCTGTGTTTAACAATTGTAAATTGAGGCAATTATCCTAGCGGGGATATCGCGTTTTGTGTGTGTTAGTGTTGAAATAAAGAAATGAATTATTAATCAAGAAAAGATGTATTGGCAAGCTGCTACGGTCAGACCTGTTCGTCGATCGAATGGAAACATTCATTGAAGAAATATCCGAAGACCTAGAAAATCCTTCACCCCCGATATGTTATGTGAACAATGGACCGGGATCAAGGCAGATCGGGTCGCGGAGGTACGGTTCCTCGCGCCTGCCGTCGCCGAGTCCCGGTGGATAAAGCAAGAGAGCAAGTCATTTCCTGTGGCGGAGACTGGAGGACGAGACTGCCCGCTCCGACTACCCTTCCCTGTCGGACCTCGGAGGTCCCTCCGAGCCAGACGTCGCTCTCCTTCCACCTAAACTAACGGCAATGCCATCTCCGAGGGCCAACTGAAGCGTTTCCTGACGGAACGCTTCAGTAGTCGCTTTACACAGGTTCCAAGCTCGGATAAATCTACCGCCGACTTCCTTGCTGAAGTCACCTCCTTGGAGTTCGACGAGTGGGACCAGCTCTTTCTCACCAACATCTCCCGCGATAAGATTGCGACTGCCAAACTGTCTGCCAAAAAGCCGTGCCTCGGGATGGGATGAATTACCCTGCGAGTTTGTCAAGGCCTTTGAAGATTTATTTTCCGAAGTTCTTTGGCAAGTCTTCGAGGCTTCTCGGTTTTTCGAGACCGGCAAAGTCATCCTGCTGCCGAAGTCACATGGTGATTCGGATCTACAGGCCCTTGGGCCAATCAGCTTCCCAACGATTGAATACAGGAACCTTTGCGGCGTGCTCAAGGGTCGTCTACATCGACATCTGCCAGAGCTCGTGCCTGAGTGTCAGATCTACGTCATTCCGGGAGGGTCATCCTCCTGGAACATTGCGCGAGTGTCAGACAAAGTCGGCAACGAGGAATGATACGCGGCTGACTGTCCTCTCTCTGGACATGAAGTCGGCGTTCGACAGCTTGAACAGAAGCCATCTGTTTTCTGGCGGCATCGCTCTTCAGGAGCATGAGAGACGTGGGTTTTTTGACGCACGTCATGAGGAATCCCCGGACGGATTCTCCTGGAAATTTGAGTCGTTGTCTGTCCCGGGCTACACAATCGCTGCCCAGAATGCCGTCGCCTCCCAGACCTCCCACCTGATGGGGCTGCTGGAACGAGCTATCGCGAGGTGATCTGCCTTCACCCGCGGCCTGTCGCTGGTGGGTCGTGCCCGTGCCTCCACGGCTACGTTCCACCTGAAACCACCATCGGCCGGCTGCAGGCGCGGTTGGTGCGATTCGTGTGGGGAACAAGCCGAGACTCGTGGCTTCCAGAGGGCATCTTGGCGCGTCCAGTCCCCTAGGGTGGCGTCGGACTGGATTGCTTTGACTCGCTAGCCTGAAGGAGTTCAGGCCTCACTGCCCGGCACCGTCAACGGCTACTCATTGCTGGTCCGCAGCCGGGCATGGTTGACCCCACCAGCTTCTGACGTCTGGCACTCACAGAGTCTGCCTTTCTGACCTGCGTCGCAACTGCCCCTCGGGGCACGACCCAGATGCGCCCTACGGCTAACACTCTACGCCCTACCCCATCCTGCCTCGAGGCATGCCAACTGTACCGACTGTGGGTCCAGTGACGGATCGCTGACCCACAGATATTGGAGTTGCTGAGCCGTGTGACCCCTGCTTCGGGAGGTGCTCACCACCTGCAGGTCTGGCTTTTCGGCGTCGGTCTCCATCGCGAAGTAATGAAGACAACGGCAATAGCGAAGGCTACCATCTAAAAGTTCCATCTTGGTATTTGAGGTGGGCAATGCCAGCCACCACATCGATCTGCCCACTCTGCGGGAAAGAACTCTGGCGACCATTGTTACCGGAGTCTTTCCTGACGTAGAAGGCGTCAAAATTAAGAAAAAAAAAATTATATATTTATCAATTATTTTTAAAAATATATTTTCATATTTTACACTCATATATATCCTTATTTAAATATAATTTATTTACATTTGTTTTTTTTTTTTAACCATAATCATATATAAAAGATGTGTAATAAAAGTAGTTTCAATCTCAATCTTTCTCTCTCAGCTATCAAAATTTAGTTGACAATAGAGAGAGCACAAAGCTTGCCATACTTCAAACGAAAATAGCCATTTGTAAATTTAAAATTCAAATTTTCTCATTCTTTTATCAGGTAAAAGAGCTTGCCATCATTTGGGTTGATAATAGAGACAAGAAGATCTAAAAGAGGAAGGGAATATTCAAGAGATTCAGCAGCCACCGTCCCTGTCATTAATTCCCGATATATTTATAAGAGCAGACGAGATTTCCTGAAATTCCAGAGTGACCAGCCTCATCAATTATGGAATTACTGATGGCAAGCAGGTGGGGTGTCTTCTTCCTTTCGGAGCTTATCATCCAAGATGGAGGTGCCAAAGGATTGATAGAGCGGAAAAAATAAATTTCGCTATCCTTAGATGAAGTACTTTTGGATTAAAAAAACTGCCTAATACTTTTCTTTTTTTTTTCCTTCTTTTATCATTGGTCAAAATACCTTTAGTCACGAATAGATTATATTCTAACTTGATATTAAGCTGATTTGATTAGCAAATTTTTTCTCCGCTAGGAGGCGGCACGAATAGGCAGCACGCTACGTCGCTCTCGGTAAGTGAACTGTCTGACTAAAATATTTTCTCTATTTTTACTAAAGTGCAAATTCAATCTATCTGAAATGAAACCTACATATCCAATATATCTTACCACCATAATTTTATGTCTATTAGACAAGAATTCTGAGCCAAATTTACATACTTTCAAGCCGGATACACACGGCGGCAAAGAGATTTGCTTATCACGTGTGAATCTTTCACTCTCAAAATATTTCCGAAACTTTCACCTTATATGTGTAGTTTTAATGCTCTTAATATTAGCTGGCATTGAACAAAACCCAGGCCCCAAGATGTCCAAACAAACGACGTTGGAAACAAGCTTAGATAGGGATAAAGATATCAAAGATCTGATAAATGCACTCACCAAAAGGCTGGATAGCTGGGGTGAGAGGCTGGAATCCCGTCTTTCGGCAATCGACGATAGAGTAGAAAATATAAACCAAAGACTGCAACAACTAGAGGAATCTTCTGCCGTTACAAAGGTAGCACTCTCTCAAAACTCCAAAAAAATAAAAGACTTAGAAGACCAGCTTGAATACTTGGATGCAAAGAGCAGAGAAAGGAACCTCATTTTTTATGGAATAGAACAAGATAATAACGAGGACTGCCGAGAACGGATACGGAAGGTTATCGAAGAAAATATGCAAACAAAGGAGAAGATAAACATCACGCGATGCCACCGATTATCCAGAAAACCCGGTGCACCGATCCTGATTGAAGTCCCAGAACAAAACGATAGATCAACTCTATTTAAAGCTGCTTTCAATTTAAGAGGAACTAAGATATCACTATCGAAAGACTATAGCATGAAGACGAGAGAACAACGGCGCGTTTTGAATGTCAAAAGAAAAGAACTCGTCGAAAGAGGCACTCTAGCTAAGC